TAAAGAAAATAAATCATGAAATTATGTGTCACATTTTTTCTTTGCAGTGCTATCGCTGTAAGTGACCCTAAACGTGATAAATTCCATATTTTGATGAGCTACATAAGTTTATGACTACTAAGGCCACAAACAAAAAAATCTGACAAGTTCTTCAGAGCCGAAGCCGTCGATGTTAATTAATTCTCATCATGAAATCGAAGTGCGTTCCATAGCTTGACCCTACTTTATGCAAAGTTTCGATGTTATATCATTGACCTTATATGGAAATAATGTTGATTTCCATCTCTGAACAATGTGAAATTGACAAAACATGTGATATCTACGTACAGCTTAACATTTTTCTTTTAATTTGTAAATTAGGCAATAAATTATTTGTTAAGGTAATTAGAAAGTGCTCTACATATTAAGTAATTGATTTCTACACAGTTTCATCTGATATAGAGAATTTCAAACCGGTATTTGGAATGTGAAATATGAGGATCAGAAAACATGAAGATCAAAAGGAAAGAATTCTGACAGCTTCCGGAGTTCAGTTTCAGAGTTTTCAAAACAACTTTACATCGTTTGCGGAACATTTTTCAAACGACAATGCATCAAGGTCAAATTAAAACTTAATTGTTCATTAAAACATTTCGGCATTCCAAACACGCTCAAGACTTCGTTAGTTTAGAATAATAATGCTTAAGAATTTTAAAGTACATTTGAATGATTTGAATACTTCAGTTATATTTCTATCAGAATAAAACAAACATGTGAAGTTATGGATATGAAATGAATAAATAAACAACAGTTTGTCAACAATAAATTAACGATCAGAGTGCAAGAATTTAAAAAAAAAAAATGTCCTCTTTTTATTCAAAAACTGTATTTACATTAGATCTATCCTGCAAATTTAACATATGCTTCAAATGTATTAAAAAAACTTGTATTCCCAATATTTATTATTGATGTTTTCTACTGGCTGAAAGTAAGTCAGACGTACATGTTTATGTTTTAGATACTATGAATAAGGTTTACGTACAGTGTGAGTGTAAAAAAAAGTTTTGCAATTAAAGAATTATTAAAAAAATTACTGCTTCGGAACTCTCCAGTCTAAGGAGTTAAGAACAATCCTGCTTCATTAAAATGAAAGTAAATTTTTTTGTACCTAAAGAGAAATTTTGTAAACATTTTTGTTTTGTTTGGTTTTTATTTTAGATCAAGTATGTAAACAAGATGTGAGAATAGGTAAGCGATAGTTTCTTTCTTTTGGCTAATATACGAGTTTTGAGATTGTAACTCTCATACGATAGAGGCGCAAAAGATATCCAAATCTGCATGGATGTGGTACAGTTTGCTGTGTATACAAACATGCATAGAAAAAATGAATCATTATGATGTTTTTGGCTTTTGAACTCATATAATGTTATAGAAAGAAAATAATGTTAAGCAGTGATGCATTTGATGATTTTATTAAGCTCATCTATGCATATTTACAAATCTACTTTCAATTAAGATATATTAAAACGGCTTTACGCAAGAACCGTCGCAGTATTTATAAAAAATAAAAGAATCCCTTCATTACACAAACCTTTTCTAAAAAGTTAGTGGGCTCCTTGAAGTTATAATAATGTAAAGAATCAGCGTGTCATTTAGTTTCTCGTCGTTTAATTTGCTATGATCAGGTATACATGTATATGTGTTCATGTATTTCTTAGAGGTCCGTACCTTCTTCCTAGTCTTAAAAGTCTTACTTCGTATGATATTTACTTAAACGATTTTTTCGGTGAAAAAAAAATTACGTCCTTACATTAATTTTGTTATTTCAAGTTGAAGAAAAAATTCTGACAATCATTAGTTATGATAAACCAGTATAAGGATGATGCAATGTATGCAATATATAAGTAACTGTCCCATCTGTCTGTTTACGCGACAGCGAAACTCCCCTCTTCAAGGAAAGAGCGCACCAAGGGAGATAATCTTGAGATTTGCGTATTGCTTTTCGATTTCGTTGAAAAAAGTCCTTATTTTTGAGAATTGAAGAATAGTCCTTGGTGTTGAATATGATATTGATGTACAATGTTACATTTATTTCAAATTGATTTTGATTACACTTTTAGTCCTGCTTTTTGAAAATAAACTGTATTTTGAAGGTTAAATTACGGACTTTTAATTTGTTCTAATCAGATCCTCTGTGAAAGCGAGTAACTCTGTAGCCAGAGAGCTGATCCTTGAAGTTTCACCGAAGGTGTAAATTCCAGTGTGAAATGGGCATCCTGATTATCTACCCTGTAGAAAAGCTGCAAAATTATTTATCGCTTATAATTTATTCGCGAATTCTAATTTTAGAAACACAAATATTTTGCACAGAATTAATGTGTATTTTACTTCTTCACTCGGAGCTCCTTGAAAACAAAATACGGAGCCCAGGGGAGAGTATACATACTATTTAATAAAAGGAAAATAAAAGTAGACCACACAGATGTGCAATAAAGCACATGATGAGTACAAATGAGTTAGCTGTATGTAGCCTTGAGTGAAACAAAACCAGCAATCCATCTTTTAATTAGTCAGCGATCAGTATTGTCACAACCAATCATTGATTTAACCACAAACATTGTTAACCATTGAAACCGCAGCCATAAATCGATTTAAACGATTGAATTTGATACAAGTTTTGATTTAGTGATCGGAAGTTTTCCGTAGTGAAATAAATCATTTGAAATGCAACTGGTGCTTGCTTTCGGGAATAGTAACACATGTATAAACATGTTTATGTAATTTGAACCCAACTCTCTTAGAAGTTTAGATAAAGCTGTTAAATTTAGGGTTCTGGCAAAGAAAAACGAAAGCTTTTGATTTAATAGAATCTTCGAGACTTAATTTAATCTAAATAAATAATTTCTTCTTATTTATTTAAATTATTCACTTTTTTGTTTCTTTATTCATTTATATTCATAAAATTGTTTGCATCCTGAGTTTGTTTAAGTGGAATTTTGAGCCCGATATTTCAGAATCGCTTTTTGGCTTTTCTTTGTAATGACTTTTTGCAATTTCTCACATTTAGCTTACTTAGCCATTATACAATGAATCACCTTATTGATAATGGCGAATGAAAAAATATAAATAAATTATAAATTGAAAGATTGCCATACGCATGATGATCAGTTGATCAATCAATCTAGTTTCTTCCGACATAAATAAATATAAGAGTGCTATTGATTCAATAATCATTGAATGAGTGGTGAAATCGTGCAAAATTTGTTTTTGTTTCACAATAAATGAACATGAATCATAGCTATTATAATACTTTAGAATTACACAACCGTCTTAACTTCGGATAATAATTACTTACTCGAAATTCGATTTAAGAGTAATCATTTTCTTTCTTTTAAACCATTCGATCATCTTAATCATCGATATAAAAGGAGAGTTTAAAGGAAAAAAAATGCGCGAGTTATATAAACTTAAATACGTCATACTGCACGTGTTTTAATATGAATTCCACCCAACTCCCCAAATAAAAAATGAAAAAAAAAATAATATAGAATAAACTCTGATGAATATTTTTTTTTCTTTTCCCGGAAAGCGCTGGCATATGTGTAAAAATTCTCGAGTTCAAATATCTCAATTGCAGTATGTTTCACGGAGGTAAAAATGTTTATTCATATGTCTATATTAAGGACGCTCTAAACACTGCACACTAAAGAGCTCTATTTATTGTGTAGTTTTATGCAGTTAGAGTGATCTGCCTTTAGATGTAAGATTAAAGAAATTGTTATTTACCGCTAATTACATAATAGATTTAAATATTTTTAACATTATATAAGACCAAGAGTAAGAAATTTAATTAATTATTTTCATTAATTTCCCCAATGTAAGTAAACATCAGTGATTTCTGCTCACAAATAGTCCATTGACTTTGAACATTTTTTCCTGCGCAAGTAAGGCAGGTACCCTATGTTCTAAATGAATGAAAAAGTCTCAATATGCATATGATATATTTTTCTCTGAGTCCACAAAACAGTTTCTGTTAGTATTTAGAGCTTCCTTAATGGCGAACAAAAAATCATTACTCTTTAGAAACAAATACACTAAACAATGGAAAGCAAAGACCGTGGATACTGTTCACTATACTAATTTATTTAGGGTATAATTCTGTGTATGATTTGTAATGTTTCCAAAAGAACCCAAAAACTTGGATTAACCACAAGTCATAGATATAACATGTTTGCGAGGAGCGCTAATTTTTACAGTTGACAGTTTACTTTTGCACTTTGACAATGTACAGAAGCTCTTTTGCTATATAAATATTTAGCTCAACATTTAATAAAACGAAAATTTTGGGTGATTTCAAAGCACATATTAGTTGCCCTTGAAGAAAACGAAAACCACTCTAAACATAACTCTCTGCCTCAACATACAAGTACCCCTAAAAACCATATCTATAACCACTAGATTTTTTTTATCTATTCTGTATCTCCGTGCACAACACAGGTTTAAATGTCAAAGTAAACCGCAAACTATAAAATTCAGTGCTTTTTGCAAAAGTCCATTAATAGTAGATATAATTATATTTTTTATAAGCGACAAACCTTTACGAATGTTAAAAAATCTCCATCTCTCCCAAATAATTTTGCTTAAATATAAAGAATTTAATATCAAAGCCAGCAAATATTTTGTTTTCTTGTGGTCAGATAAATACAAATTGCAACAATCACTATACATTAGTATGGTTAATTCTCTCAATATTCGACGAATATATTTTATTGCTTACTGAATAAGTAATTAGTGAAAGGTTAATTAATTTATAACGTATAGGAAGTTTGATAATCAAAATTCAAATTGTTTGGAATGTCTTTCGTTCGCGAAGGGGTACGAGCTTGTCAAACGCATCAGGAATAAATTAATTCGCGATTGACGGCATTCATTTGTCGAATTTAATGAACGTGCATAAATTTTTGAAGAACATATATAAAGCTGAACGTGCTTTTCTATTTCACCATAGAACCTTTTTTGTCTATCTTTTCTGTAGCCGCAGTGGAACTTAACGATTCCTTGTGGTTAGAAACATGGGGACTACATGTACACAGGTTTTAGTGGGGGTCATATGTTTGCTTTTTTCACAATGTTCTGGCTTCTTCAATCCTGCTATGGTAAGCTATTCTTTTTTTTTTTACTTTTGATACCATTTTCTTTTTTTATTTTTTAAGTTTTACTGTTATTATAGGAAAAGACCAGTTTGTATTTTTTTTTTAAATTAATAAAATTTCTTCTGATTGATATTCCAACATTTTTTTTTTTCTCATGAAAGCCCATAATCTTTCGTAATTTAAAAAAAAGAAAAGCAAATGAATAAATTCAAAATTAATAGAAGCCTATTTTTTACTTATTTTTTTTTCTTTTTTTCAGAAACACTCCCTCGCACAATCCATCAGCCAATCCGTTTCAAAAGCAGTTGCCAACAACCAGAACCAGATGTTGGTAGCTAATGTCGCAAACGTTGGCTCCATGGTCGGAACACAAAACAATGGCCCAGTACAGAACTTCAACGCTGGAAAACCTGCACCAAAGCAGCCAAGTTTGCCGTCAGGAATCAGTTCCTCGTTCGCTAGCAGATTTACTGGTGGTCAGCAGACTCAACAGAGCCACAATTCTTATCACGCTTCCATGTCTGCATCCGCTAGTCAACAACAGCAACAGGTTAATGAGTACCGTAAGCTTTTCGGAATGCTTGCTTCATTGGCCCAGAACCAGCATCAACAACATTCACATTCTGGAAATGTAATGAAAGCAGAAGCCATCCTGAATAAGATGCTTGGAAAGTCCATCAGCATGAAAGCCACGAATTCTTATTCCTCACCTACTCAAATGAATTCTCGTATTCAACTTATCCAGAATATGATTGTTGAACTTATGAACTATAGAAAGCAGATCGGTAGTGCAAAAGCCAAGAAAAACCCATTAACAGTATTCATGAGGAGCTACGATCTTCAAAAGAAGGGAATGTTGGAAGCCTTCTTGAACCTAGTCCGTAATCAGCAGGTGCAGCAGGCCGTCGTTGACAACTCAGTTTACCGACGTGTAAGCTCTTCAAACAAGAATTCCCACAACACAATTGTTTTCGCGAAGAATGCCAACGTCCATTCTCCAGTCCAGACACAGCACAATGCCCCGATGTACCCAGCACCACCAAAGACAACACCAGCCCCAACAACAACAACTCCAGAACCAACAACAACAACAACCACACCAGCCCCGACAACGACAACACCTCCCCCTCCTCCGCCACCCAAGTACCAACCTCCACCTAAATATCAACCTCCTCCTCAATACCAACCTCAACCATACTATCAACCTCAGTATGTTAACCAACACCAGACAGTCAACAATAACGTCAACGTCAACAACAATGGAGGACGTAATGCAATGAACGCTCGTGTTAATATTGGTAATAACCAAAATCAGCATGCAGGCGGTCAAGGTGGATTTTATCCCGGCCCTCCTCCTCAAGGACCTCCTCCAAAATCACCAAGTCCCCCAGGACAGTGGCAACCAGCACCAGGACAGCCTAACCAGTTCCAGGGACTCAATAATAATGTTAATGTTAACAATAACGGAAGAGGTCCAGCTAACTTTAATGTCGGAATACAAAACAACCAAAATCAGCATGCTGCTGGAGGTGGATATTATGGAGGAATCCAAGGAGGTGCTCAGCAAGGTGGACATGCCCAGCAAGGTGCTTACATGCAAGGCGGTCATGGTGGTGCTCAAGGTGGTCACGGTGGTGCCCAGGGTGGTTATGGTGGTCAGCAAGGGGGTCAACAAGGAGGTCATGGTGGTCAGCAAGGTGGTCAACAGGGAGGTCATGGTGGTCAGCAAGGCGGCTATGGTGGACAACAAGGTGGCCAACAGGGCGGTCACGGTGGCGCTCAAGGCGGGTATGGTGGTCAACAAGGTGGTCAACAGGGCGGTCATGGTGGTGCCCAGGGTGGTCATGGTGGCCAACAGGGCGGTCACGGTGGTGCTCAGGGTGGTTATGGTGGACAACAAGGTGGCCAACAGGGAGGACATGGTGGTCAACAAGGAGGACACGGTGGTCAACAAGGTGGTCACGGTGGTCAACAAGGCGGGCAAGGTGGTCAACAAGGTGGACACGGTGGTCAACAAGGTGGTCAACAAGGTGGTTATGGTGGTCAACAGGGAGGACATGGTGGTCAGCAAGGCGGACACGGTGGTCAACAAGGCGGACACGGTGGTCAGCAAGGCGGACACGGTGGTCAACAAGGTGGTTATGGTGGTCAACAGGGAGGACATGGTGGTCAACAAGGCGGACACGGTGGTCAGCAAGGCGGACACGGTGGTCAACAAGGCGGACACGGTGGTCAACAAGGCGGTCAGGGTGGTCAACAAGGCGGACACGGTGGTCAACAAGGAAGGCACGGTGGTCAACAGGGAGGACAAGGCGGTGCTCAATTCGGAGCTCATTGGAAAGGTGTTTTCGGTCAACAAGGAGGAGCTGGTGGTGCTTATAGTGGTGCTCAAGCTGGCCAAGGAGGTGCACAGGGCGGTCAACGAGGCGGTCGTGGTGGAGCTGCTGGTGGATTCACAAACATGCATGTTGATATTATGAATAATCAAAACCAGTACAGTGCTGGAAATGCTAATCAATACCAAGGACTTAATAACAATGTCAACTTAAATAACAACGCTGGTCCAAGTTCCCGCTATCCAATGGGGCAACCTAAAATGCCAAAAGCTCCGAAAGGAGGACCAAAAGGTGGTGCTGTAGGTGCTTATCAGGGTGGATATGGTAACAGTCAAGGAATGAACAACAACCTTAACATTAATTTAAAAGTACCAAGGCCACCAAAACAGTCTGGTCCTAAGGGCGGCAGTCCAGCCAAAGATCCCAAAAAGACACACATTTATATCAACTTTCACGCTCCCATTGACAACGGATTCTATCCTTCCCTGAATGCAGGAGTTGGCCCTCGACCAAAATCTCCTGGAGGAGCAACCCCAAAGAAAGGACCAAGACCAAAGGGACCTAAAGGAGGTTCACCAAAGAAGGGACCCAAGAAAGGACCAAAGAAAGGTGCTGGACCTACTCCTAAGAAAGGACCTCGACCTAAATCCCCTTCTCCTAAAACTAAAGGACCAAAGAAAGGTCCCCGACCCCCAAAGGGTGGACCTCAGCCAAAAAGTGGAGCACCCCAGCCCAAAGGTGGCCCAACAGGAAAACATACAAAAACAACATTTCATCAGCTCCAACACGGAAAGCTTCCAATTAATTTAGTTATCAATAATAATTTCCCACAAAATATGATGAATATCCATGGACATGGTAATAACGCTGGTGCCACAGCTCTCCATCAACCAAACAATAACGCAGGAGGTCATCAAGGAGCCAGCTACAATGGACAATCTGCTCACACACAACAATCACAAGGAGGTCAGGCAGGAGGACATGGTCAGGGTCAACAGGGAGGTGGACAGGGTCAAGGTCAACAGGGAGGTGGACAAGGTCAGGGGCAGCAGGGTGGAGGATATGGTCAAAGTCAACAGGCTGGAGGACATGCTCAAGGTCAGCAGTCTGGAGGACAAGCACAGTATAGTTCACAGTACAGCGCACAATACAACACTCACACCAAATTACATGAAACTGTCCTACCTAGAAACAAAGTCAAAATAGTGGGTGACAGAAACAAGGTTCGCACATTCGCAGGTTTAGAAAACCAGCTCCAAAATCTTCCTCATGGTTCGACAGTCAAAGGTGCACAATCTGGACAAGGACAATCACAAGGTCCATCAGCTATGGTAAACGTGCATATGCAACAACTTCTTCAGCTTCTTACTGGTCAGGGTGGTCAAGGCGGTAGTCAAGGAGGAAGTCAAGGCGGTAGCCAGGGAGGAAGTCAAGGCGGAAGTCAGGGAGGAAGTCAAGGCGGAAGTCAGGGAGGAAGTCAAGGCGGAAGTCAGGGAGGAAGTCAAGGAGGCAGCCAAGGCAGTGCTTACGACATTTATGCCCAACAACAACAAGCTCTTCAGATGCAAAGCGGAAGTCAAGGTGGTAGCCAAGGCGGAAGTCAAGGAGGCAGCCAGGGCGGAAGCCAAGGAGGCAGCCAGGGTGGAAGTCAAGGTGGCAGTCAAGGAGGCTCCCAAGGCAGTGCTTACGACATTTACGCCCAACAACAACAGGGTCTGCAAATGCAAGCTGGCCAGCAAAGTGCACAATACGAAGCCTACGCACAAGGTGGTCAGGGAGGACAACAACAAGGTGGTTACCAACAAGGAGGTCAACAAGGTGGACAACAGGGTGGTCAACAAACCATCATGATGTCTCAGATTATGGAACTAGCTCAACAGGTGCTAGCTGGAGGACAGGGTAATCTCCCGCCATCAACACAGCAAATGTTAGACATGATCATTGCTCAAGGACAATCAGGACAGGGAATCCCTCCAGATCAGATAAACGGGCTTATTGAGATGCTTACCCAACAATTACAAAGCGCTAGCTTCCTTGACCTTGGTGCTCAAGCAGGAGCTCAGGGTTCATCATCATACGCAGCATCAAGCAGCCAACACGCCTCATCGCAACACAGTAGCTACTCTGCCGGGCAGCAGCACCATCAGCAGTCTGGTGGATATGCAGCTGGTCAAAGCCAGGGAATGCAGTTCATCGATCCAGTAACCAATAACGCCGTTCCACCTGTGGACTTCCTTGGGTCTCTTCCGAAAATGGCTCTTTTCGAATCCGGATCCGTTGTCGTGTCCAAATCCAAAAAGCCTTAAATCAGGGAAAAAGACATTTATAGCTTAAACAGCAAGTCGGCCATGATCTTGGAAGCCAAAATCTACAGTTTTTCGTTGATTTCCTTTTCGAATACACTGGTTTCCATTAAACATGGTTGATTACATCTTAGGGTCTTGTTGAAACAGTACGTCCTGAGGAAATTCGAACTAGCAATGTTTGGTTCAGGGATTATTTGGGCGCACCGGAAACAGTATTATTTGACAGTTAATATGTTATGCATGTTATGTTAATTTTAGATGACCACTGTGATTTCACGTGTGCGAGAGGCGAGAGTAAGAATATTTATTTTGTTATGAGTGTTGTTAATTTATTTTATTGTGATGACAAGTGAAATCCGTTTGTCTCACTGTTATGTCAATAAAAAATGAAAATATTGATAAACTGTTGTTATCTATAAAATATTAAATACAACACGGAAAATTCAATTTAAAAATGTGTCTATGCACTGTATATGCAATTATTATGCAGGTGTATTTTATTTGAAAAAAAATGAGGATGGAACATTATTAAATGTTGATGATATTTTTTAATGTAGGAAAAGGACAAACAGCATCTTGTGCATAAAAGATTCAAAAATATTTTGGCAAATTTATTTGAAAGCAATAAAAGTCATAAATTGCACCATTTAAGAGATCAGTGGTTAATTTTAAATGTTAAACCCTAAAACAATTATACCCCATGTCACTTTGATTTTTATAAAACTAAACCGCTCGCAGAATTTCTAACGCAAAAATAAGTGTATAAAATACATAAGTATTCATATTAAAAAAAAGAGGTTTTACAGAAAAAAACGATATTTCCTACATAACTCAAAATAACACAATATATACTTCCTTTTTTTATATTTGAATATTTTGGACACTAACAGAATAGAACTCCATATATCATTGAATAATTTTTAACATATTCGAAATAAGCGCATACATAGATACAAAGCATTAGTTTGAGTTTGCAAGTATAAAGGTACATAAACCACCTGTATCACGTAATTTATTACAGTACTGTCCTTTCTTGTCAAGCAATTGTCTTCTTCAAGATGGCTGCAATTTTCTGTATAATGTAGATTTATGCAATATTATTGAGTCGAATAATCATTTAATTAAAATCCTTTCATCTTTAGTTTTTAATATATCTGTTTTATTTCCTTTACTATTAATTATTCAAATATGTACACTATGAATATATACAACACGAAAAGGTCAAAGGATCTCCGAAATGACGTCACGTAGATTTTTCGTACCATGAAGTTATGCTGATAGTTTTAATAAGGGTCATGTATTCCGAATAAATATCAACAAAGCGGTTGGTAGAATTGACAAGGTCTAGACAATTAAACAATGTCAATTGCATGTTTAATCATTATGTAAATGCAACTTATAACACTTCATACAATATTAATTAGGATTTCTGCAAATCTTCAACTTAACACCAATTACTGTCATTTTGGAACAAACATAATTCATGTCAAGATACCACACAGACCAAAGCATATCATTTAAATTAATTTTAATTTGAATTCAGCATGCCTTTTAGCTGTCCTCAAAATCAAAACTAATTGAGGATAACTTCTATTCATTTGTACTTTTCGACATGTATGCACATTAAATATTGTACATGCACATGTATATTGCTTGTAATTAATCTAACAAGAACATGTAAAAGGTTGGAGAATTATTTTCAATTAAGTCAAATACTATAGGGAAAACTGTTAAATAGTGTAAAGGTAACTCTTACAGCTACAACAGCTTCACACAGTACTACTGGGGCCAGCAGGTGCCAGGTAGAAAAAAAAATTCTGGCGGCTGCTAAATAAATATTTCTGGCTGCATGTTAAGCTTCTGTCGGCCGCCATATAATTTTCTGATGGTCACCAGAAGGTTAATTGGCGACCGCTATATATATATGTAATTTCTTGCGGCCGCTAGATAATTATCTGGCAGAAAATCGCCATTTGAATTTCTACCGGTGGCCAGCTGTTTTTTATATTGCGGCCTCCAAATAATATATTTTTTCTACCTGGCACGTACCGGCCCCCTAGTTGCAGAACTGTAGCGTTATGGTTTTATATATTAGTCTTTGTCCATAATGACCGTTATGGTCAAAGACTACTATATAAAACTATAACGCTACAGTTCTGCAGCTACCGGCTTCCGTACAGCGTAAAAGAAAAATAAACATACATAATTTCAAACAAAAAGTATTGAAATTGAAATTACTTTAAAATTAAAAAAAAAAAAAAAGGAAAAAAGCCGGTTATCATCTTGAACGAAAATCAGTGTCATGTGTGCTACGTAAATTATAGAGTGTCAGAGACGAAGAGAGAAGTTACAGAAAGATAGCTAATTTATAAGAGCGTTGCATTTGAGTCGTGTTATAAGATTGACTGACTGTTATGGCCCCGCTCCGCAGGTGCGCCATAGGGATCAGTCTGTCCGTCCGTCTAGCTGACTGTCTAGCTGTCCGTCCGTCCATCAGTCCGTCCGAGATCTCTCATATCTTTTCTCTCCTTGAACCAATCTGGTTCATACTTCACCCACAGAGTGTTTCTGGGTAAAGGGTGTGCAGAGACATTGAACAATAGGCCAAAGGTCAAGGTCATAATTTTTTTTAATAAAAACCTTGTCGGGAGCAAATCTTCCCTCCTCTTAGTCCAATGTTGCTAATACTTCACTCACTGAATGCAACTGTTCAATGGATGTGCAGTGACCTTGAATTTAGTTTCTATGTAAAGGGTCAAGGTCAAGTAGCATCTCTGTTTAAAATATTTTTTTTTGGTGCAACATTTCTTTTCCCTTAAGGCCTATCAGCCTCAAACTTTACCAATTGACCAAGGGTACGGAATATTTGTGATTTTACTTCCATATTTTCATAGAGGATATTCAACAATTTTCATAGAGAATATGCAACATTAATAATTTTTTTGTGCTTTTTTTTGATAGAGGGTATGGAGCAGTGCACAATTGTTCCTCTTCAAAATAAACCTTTTCCAGCTACCTTACATTTTCATGTACGTTGTTGAAAGCGGAGCCCTTTGAGATGACCACCATCGCAGTGATATCTAGTTTGTTGTTTAACGTCGTTCTCGAGAATTGTTCACTCATATGGAGATGCCATCACTTGCTGATGGAGAGTTGCAAATTCTACCCCGTGTTCGGTACTTACGGCCATTGAGCAGTGAGGTTCTTTTTCGTGCCAGCTGGGGACCTCGGTTTAAAGGGTCTCATTGGAAGGACATACATGTATCTTTATGTCCCACACTTGGACTCGAACCCGCGACGTACACATAAGGATCATCTCCTAAATCCATGACTTTATAGCACACGCTCTAACAACTGCGAAAGGAGGGCGACTGCGCAATGAGAAGTTTATTCATATTTCGCGAATCCTCTGTGGAGCGGGTAGACCGGGGTCCTTATCGCAGTAGGAGTTTGGCACGAAAAAAAAAAACAAAAGCTCGCACATTTCAATGTTCATTAAATCTGAGTACATCAACTCATGTATTCCTGCTTAAATTACAACTCTCCAGACTGGTGGCGTCGCATTTTAAATGAAAAATTGCGAAGGTAGGCTTAATAAAGAAACAGAAGGTATATTTTTTAAAAAAGTGATACATTCAAGTAAAAGGACATAAATGAAAGGTGCCTACATACGAAAAAATTGTTCACTAGAATGTTAAATCTGCTTGCCTTTTGAAGTCAAATGAAAACCATTTTGCTTTATTTTGGACTAGGACCAATTCAATACTTTACTTTAGCAGAAAAGCTGCATATCTCGTAAAAAACAAGAGCTAACTTGTTAATTAAAGGGACGGAAGACATCTCGTCGTATTGTTAAAGTAGACTTCATAGTGATTATGATTTATGATTGCTATTGCAAACCACAAAACAAAGATTCCCCCACCATATCAAGAGTTAAAAAATTCTCAGAAAAAATGTTGTTCAATAATTTATCTGGCCAAGTGTTCATTTGAATTTAAATTTTATTACACTAGCCACGAGGAATCCAATGATAATGAACTGTATTGGAAGAGATTCAAGTCACACATTGTTGTCAAGGACAAATACTGACGTTTACTCCGTACATATTTTCTGAAAGTTTGATGTGTACTTAACATCAGGAAGTCAAATACAGAGAATGCAAAAAATGTCTAACAAGGTAACACTTCATTAACTTTTTCACTACAACTTTGAGAATTGGTGACAGTGTTTTTTGTTTTTTGTTTTTTTTTAACTCATACATATCTTTTGTATAAGAAAAAGGGTTATGTTCCTCTTATATAAGTTGTTCTGGAAGTACTAATAAATAATTTTAGGGGATGGTAGGTAGGGGGTTACTCAGTGCTCTTGATATCTAATTGTTGAATTATTCCTATTAGAATATAATTTTTACATCAATACTTATTAAAAATTACCTAAAATTTATGGCGATACGAACAATTCTAAGGCTTAGATTGATTGATTGATTGATTGTATACTGTTTAACGTCCCTCTCCAGAATATTTCACTGATATGGAGACGTCACCATTGACGGTGAAGGGCTGCAAATTTAGGCCTATGCTCGGCACCTAGGGACTTGGATCTTTATCGTGCCACACCTGCTGTGACACGGGGCCTCGGTTTATACGGTCTCATCCGAAGGACCGCTCCATTTAGTCGCCTTTTACGACAAGAAAGGGGGTACTGAGGACCTATTCTAACCCGGATCCCCACGGGGCTTAGAAGTTAAAAATAAAACTAAGCCTCAGGTGAGATCAGATCAAATCTAAGTCAGCTACATAGTTTTACTTAGTTTTAATAGTAAAAGGTGTTTCGGTCATTTTTTTATTCACCCACATAAATACTTTTATCACTCACTTGTTTTTTTTTAAATGTGTCTCTTAACAAAAATGTGTTTTTTTTCAGCTGAAAAAAAATCGAAATTACAGAGTGTGTAGTTGTTTTTATTCATTTATTTGATTGCTGATTATAAATGTAAAATAATATTTATAGTTTATAAAAATATATTTAAAAGTCTTCCGAAAAAAAGATATTTTATAAAACAAACTAATCATGACGAATATAAACAAAAACAACAAATTCACCATTGTATAATAGATGTAATTTAATCTGATACAATTACACATATTTTATAGGTCATTAAATATACTGATGTCCAGCCTACACATATTGTGGACTTTTGACAGTTTCCGGTATAACAAGTTTATGCATAAGGGGTAAGAACTCCAAATTCGTACCACTCTCAAGATTTCTTGACTTTTTATCGTTGATTAGTCACCAACCACTTGTATATTTGAATTGACGTAAAACGTATTGCATTTTATTGTTCTAGTACGTCTTTATGCTTAATGTTTATGAGCACCTATC